AGATGCTCTAACTCATTGCATATGCATTTAGGATCTAGTGGAGTGCTAACACCCTTGAAAATATTTGTGAAAATATGCTAACACTTGTGCACAAGGTGATACACTTGGTGGTGTTGGCACATTTACAAAGGAGGTGGTGTTCGCAAGCTCGGCGGGATTCAGCGCTTTCGGAAAAATGGAATGTCTATTTTCTATTGCGCCAGATGCAAATTCTTGTGGTTGGCTCATTAGAGCAAGGGTGAAGAAGTTAGAAGTGAAAACGAGTTGATCGCGAAGACGCTGGCGTCGGTCTTTTGACCGGACGCTGGGTCTGAAAGCACCGGACCCTGGTTGCGTGTGTCCGGTCAAACTAACGGGTCTGCGCAGTGCCGAGGGTATTGCACCGGACGCTGATCTGTGTCCGGTCAAGGTGGACCGGACACGTCCGGTCGAAGAAATACGCCTCGGGGAGCTTACTGGAAACGACCGGATGCTGGGGCTTTAGCGTCCGGTCAGTTTTACCGGAGCGTCCGGTCAACTACGTAGCCGTTGAAATCGGGCGATCGGCGTTTTAAGCCAATGACTCGTGGCGCTCATCGCACGACCGGACGCTGAGGTCCAGTGTCCGGTCAATATGACCGGAGCGTCCGGTCGGCCCGTGTTCAACCCAGTGAAGGGGTACAACGGCTCTATTTCATTGGGGCTCTATTTATAGCCCCATGGCCGGCTCAAGCTTACTCTCTTGCACATTTTCATTGACATAGCAACCTTGTGAGCTTAGCCAAAGTCCTCCCAACTCATCTCCATCATTGATCCATCATCATTGTGAGATTGGGAGAGAATCCAAGTGCGTTGCTTGAGTGATTGCATCTAGAGGCACTTGGTATTCGTGTTGCGCTGCGAATTTCGCTTGTTTCTCTTGGTGGTTGCCACCACCTAGACGGTTGGAGCAGCGGTGGAGGATTGGCACGAGTTGGTGATTGTTCGTGGCCATCTCCGGTGATTGTAAGGGGAGTTGTACCTTCCCCGGTGGAGTGCCGAAAGGTAACTCTAGTAAATTGCTCGTGTCATTGAGTTACCTCACTTGTGGGTCGGTTCTTGCGGTGTCCTATCGTGTGGACGAGGTTTGTGAAACACCTCTTAGCCGCCGAACCACTAAGTGTTGGTCGACACAACGGGGACGTAGCGTGTTGGCAAACACGTGAACCTCGGGAGAAAATAAATTGTCGCTTGTCTTTGGCATTCTCCCGGTGATTGGCTATATATTCATCTTGTGATTGGTTCATCCCCTACACGTCGGTATAATCACCCTACTCACTTATTTACATTCTTGCAAACTAGTTGATACAAGCTCTTTAGTGTAATTAGAATTGAGAGCTTGCTTTATTATTTACATTCATCTAGTTGAGATCTTTAGAGTAGCAAGACTGAGAGCTCTTAGTGGGTAATTACATAGCAAGTTTGTGTGCCTAAGTAATCATTGCAACTAGAGTTGTTGGATAGGTGGCTTGCAACCCTTGTAGAGCTAGAGCAAGTTTGCATTACGCTATTTGTCATTCTAATCAAATTGCTCTAGTTGACTTGTAGATTCTTAAATAGGCTATTCATCCCCCCCTCTAGCCATATTAGGACCTTTCAACCATGCCAATTGGGATCGTGCAAAGCTTCCCAAGCGAATGAAGGGATCGGTGAGATAGGAGCGGTGGTTGCAGCCATGGCGTATCGAGGATTGGGCTTGAAAACACCGGCACGAGCACGAGTGACCATAGGATGTGTGGGAGGTGGAGGTGGTGTGGGAGGTGGCGCTGATGCGGTGGAACTCTGGGGCGAACCGGAGCTGGCAGACCTAGGGTCGGGCTGCACATCGACCATGTCAGGTGAAGTTGGAGGCTGCGTGGGCGCTGAGCTTACCACAGGGGACGAGGCGATGCTGGGCGCAAAGACGCGACAGCGTTTCGGCGGGGCATCTGGCAGATGCACTAGACTGTCTTCCAAGGCGACCGAGGAAGGCGACGTGGGCGACGTCGTGGGCACGGATGGCGGCCGGAATGGAAACACAGTTTCGTCGAACACCACATGACGAGAAGTAATGATGCGACGGCTGGCAAGGTCGAAGCACTGATAGCGGCGGTGGTCAGATGGGAATCATACACGCGCTGGAGCGAGCACTCAGCTTGTGCGGTGCGATGGCTGTTTGGTTGGGAAAGCATAAACAACCGAAGACCCGAAGGTGGCTGTATGATGGTGGAGCACCCAGAAGACGCTCGAAGGGTGTGATCGGTGCCGTGGCGTGGCACGGACGCCGATTGAGTAGATGAGTGGCAATAGCGAGAGCTTCAGCCCAGAAAGGAAAAGGCAGGCCTGCATGAAGAAGAAGACTGCACACGCAGTCGTTAAGTGTGCGTATGATCCGCTCGGCTTTGCCGTTTTGCGCTGAACTGTATGGGCAAGAAAGGCGGAAGCTGATGCCGTGTGCGGCAAAATGCTGACAGACTACAATGTTGTCAAATTCCTTGCCGTTGTCGGTTTGGAAGGAATTGAGTGTCCAAGAACCACTCGGATGCTTGAGGTCCAGCGGCTGGCACATTGGCTGTGGCCAGAGCAGCGAGGAGCGCCTGCTGATTCCACACATCAGAGGAAGAAGAGGCCGGGGCGGGTGCTGGTGCCGGCGGCGTAGAGCCGGTGAGGTACGCCTGCTGAGGAGAAGCGCCGGGTCGAGGGCCGAGGACGCCAGCGCCGAGAACGCGGAACGGCATTGGCCATGCTTGAACCATGCCGGTCCAGGGGTTGAAGCCGCGAACCCATGGCGAGGGTGGGCGGTTGCCACTGGTTCCGCCCTGGTTGGCGTGGCCGCCGCCGCTGTGGCCACCAGAGGAGTTGTTGCCGTGGCCACGGCGCTTCTTGTTGCCGCGGTTGTCAGGCCGCGTGCCAGCGCCCGTGGTTGGTTGGCTGGACCGAGGGACGCCGGCATCGGCGTGAGCAGGAGGCTGTGCAGCAGGCGGACGAGGGGCACCGGTCGCCAGGAGGGCCTGGTGAGACGCCATTCGGGCGTGCTCCTTGTCGTAGCGCTCCTCAAGAAGAAGATAGGACCGCGCCGAAAGGAAGGTGTGGGGAGGTTGCTTGGAGGTGATAACAGGGATAACATGACGGTATTTGGGATTGAGCCTACGAAGCATGTTGAGTACCTGGCTCGTCTCACGGACGGGCTGCCCGACGTCGCGGAGCGCGTCGGCGAGCGACTTCAGGCGATTGCAATACTCGTGGACGGACATGTCGCCCTGGTAGATATTGCGGTACTCAGCCTCTAGGTACACAGCTCGATGTAGCTCGTTGTCGCGGAACTCGTTCTCGATCGCACGCCAAACGGAGTAAGCAGTGTTGCGCGGTCGGCGAACGACGTCGAGCACGTCGGTGGAGATGGTGAGGAAGATCCAGTTGACAAGGCATTGATCGATCACACGCCACTCAGCGTTGTGGCGCTGGGCGGAGGTGGGGGAAACAACGATGTGGGAGCCGAGGCCGAATTTGTCGACGACGCTGTCGAAGAACGTGTGCCATTGAGCATAGTTCGGATTGGCGACATCCAGAACGATGGGAACGTGGGACTTGATGTTGATGGTTTGAAGAACCGAGGCAGGAGGAGTCACGACGGGAACATCATCGTCGAGATCGCTAGAATAGGTGGAGGAAGAAAGACGAGGGGAAACAGGAGGGGAGGTTTCCTGATCGGAGAAGAGAGGATTGGAGTTCATGCTGTTCATGGCGTCCATGGTGGGGCAGCGGAGAGAAGATGGGCGGCGAGAGGCTAAGCAGGATCACACCGCACTCTCTGATACCATGAAAGAGTTTAGGATGGAGCCAACAAGCTTTGCTGTATTGATCTCTGTGTGTTTTATACAAAAGTACAAGGCAGTGGAACTGCCGGCGCGAGGCGCGTCTGCGGGCCGAGCGCACAGACCTGGAGCCACGACGTGGGCGACATCGTGGCTGACTAGCGCGTAACCGCGGCGACAGCAGAGCGGGAAAAACCTCAGCTAGCCTATCCGAAGTAATACAAATTACACACTTTATCATCCCTGTTCGCTGCCATCACGCGCAATCCTCTTCCTTTTGTCCATCTCCTCTCTCCCGATCTCAGGCGAGGGCCGTGAGGTTGCCTAGGTCAAGGCCGCAGCTGCCGTGGCCAGTTGCTCCTTTTTCCGTTCGTGCCTGCGAGCAAGACGCCGGGTGTTGAGAAGCGACCACCACCGCGATGTCCTTACGGAGCCAAAGACGATGAACCCTGGAGCTGTGCGCCCTGGTCGACTGCCGTCCATCATCGCCATGCCGAGGGCGCTTCGCCGAGCGGCGGCCGGAACAAAGCCACATCGCACGTCGCACGGGAACCCGCGGTGTTCAGCTTTCCCTCTCCTCCGTCCCTCGGCATCGCCTGCAAGATCCGGACGTTGCGGCCCTGCCCCTTCTTTGCTTGCTTCCTCGCCACAATGTCAGCCTCCTCGATCTACAGCACGTCGTTCCGTGGTGGAATATACGAAATAGCAACACATGGAACCGAAGAGGGAAAAAATGACTACGATTGTATCTCCACACCGTATTTGCGCCGGTCTCAACGCGTGCGCAACAGACGGTTGCAGAATTGTCGAAGCCGAGCCACTTTAGGATTATTCGTAGGTTGGATGAAAAATGATTAGTGACAAAAAATTTTACCTCTTTAGTATGTATTAGGTATAGATATAGATAGGGGTGAGTGCGCATGCGTGTTGTGAGCATCAACGTTGTATTGTGTAATTAAAAAAAACAAGGACGTTGGAACCGACGACACAATATGGGAGGATGCTGGATTTGCTAATATTTAGTTGTACATTGCAACTGTTTGTAACAATTGAAGTGGAAATGAACACGGCCAAAACTCATACGGATTGCGTCTTACGTACGGGGGCCAAAAAGAACTCAAATTTGTCAGGTCTGTGCTGTGCATCAGGACGTTGTGAGCTTATGGACACTCCATTGTTGTTTTTGTTTCACAGGATGCCATCGATCTCCCAGTTGTCATCGTCGTCGTCCCGAGCCTTTGAGGTCGCGTCAGCGTCTTCTTCTGGGAACCTCGGCTCATCCATCATGCGCCTGCAAGGTTTTCGGCACAAACAGTATGCAACTTAGATTCAACTTCCGAGGGAGGAGCTGCTGAAACGCTGGCAAGGTTATGACTTTCATGTGTGGCTCAAACTATCCAATTCATTTCCCTAACAAAAAGCATTAGTTATCAATACTGAAATCCAATCAACATCCACTCATGAGTCATGACTCATCCGACATACCACACCAACAACAAAACTAAAAAGAAAATGCGTTGAAGCAAATGACTGCATCAGTACTACCGACAAGGCAGGAAATAACTCTCAAGGCACAAATATGTGCATAAGTACTACCAACAAGGCAGGAAACAGCTCTCTCTCTCTCTCTCTCTCTCTCAAATATGACTGCACTATTCTCACAAATACTCCATCTGTCTTATAATACAGTGCATTATAAGAATTTTAAGACAAATTAAGAGAGAACATAAAAGACGTATGTACCCTCATCTGATTTCCTAATCAAACGCTATAATCAACGTGATTTATGATGATTGGTTGATAAATTGAAAGTATTTAATGTAAAATTGGTTTTTGTCTTCTAGAATACATTAAATTTTAGAATAAATTTTAAATGCTAGAATGCACTATATTATATGACTGCACCAGTACTGCTACAAACAAGGCAGGAAAACAGCTTGACTCAAATACCTAACGAGACTTTCAAGTCAAGTTCTTGCATTTACTTGTGCCGCGAAATACTAAAGAAAATTTGGAATTTTTACTTGCCCATTAAACATTTTCAGGGGCTCAAGGCATGCAACAACTTCTGTGAAATGCAAACTCCCTTTCCATAGCTCATACCATCAACTACATCAAAATCAAATTGTGAGTCCCAGTTTCAATCGCAACTGCATGTCTGCATTCCAAAGCATGTGTGGTGTGAACATTGGAAGTTCTAAGCCTGCCAAAAACGTAATTGTTGACAGGTATATTGATTTCAAGAATAACTGGTTCCATTCCACCACCAACGACAAGAAAGCACAGGGGCACTGCGCAGTGCGCACATCATCCTGAACTGAACGGATCCGTACTCTCCTATCCAATCCATGGACTAGCTCGATTGGTCTATATAGGCTATAGCATCAGGGAAAGCGAGCCAGAGCGCAGCCATGTTCATCTCATACCTGCGGCGGTTGCGGCGTCCGGCCTCGCGCGCCTTGCGCTTCTTCTCGTCCGTCTTGCTCTCGTACCTCCGACGGCGCTTGATCTCCTGCAGCACGCCGGCGCGCATCACCTCCCGCCGGAACCGACGGAAGATGGACTCCTCCCCCTCGTTCTCGTCCACCAGGATCTGCACATTGTACCCCTTGGCGGCCACCACCGCCGTCGGCGCCCGGCGCGCCACGTGCACCACGGACGGCGGCGAGCTCTTCCCCGAGAAGGGCGCGAGCGGCGGCAGCTGCAGCAGCGTGCTCAGCAGGGAGGTCGTCGTTGCGGGGGCGGCCATGGCTGCGGCCTACTTCGGCTGGCTGGCTAGCGCGCGCTAATGGCTGCTGCGAGTTCCTGTGTCGGGTTCTTGCCTTCTTGGATAGGATGAGAGGCTGAGGAAGCACGGAGGGAAGGAGGGAGGGAGGGAGACGGTGGACAGTGAAGGCTTGGCTTATCCTCTTATTTATTTTTGTGGATTTTGGAGGGAACCGCCGTTAACAGCTTAGCCGTGTTTCTTTTTTTTTTTCATTCTATCTCTTCTAGTATCTTACGGAGTATTTGTCATTGTTTCGGTATTTTAAAATAATTATGCCCTAGGTTGCTACTACTCCGTTCTATTTTATCTAGCGCACACACCTAGGATTCCAAGCAAGATTGGGTTCTCTTTTTTTTTGTGAAACTAGCAAGATTGGGTTCTAGGAATACAGTGACAGGAAGGATGCGACTGAGCACTCAATCAACGGAAATGTGGTGGTGAAAACCAGGAAGCGTTGATGAAATGGTTGCATGTCCAGCAGTAGAGAACCAGGATTTCCAACTAGGAGCAAGCAAAGCGGGAAGGTGCTTAGTGCTTTGCATGGCAGATTATTTGCCGGCATAAATTCCTGGTAGTTTTTTTTTTTTTTTTGCATGGATTCATTGCCATCCAAAAGTCACCCTTCCATTTTTTTGCATGGATTCATTGCTGTCCATCACAAGGTCGATAATGTGAAGCATCGCTGTTCCATTAGACTGTATGGCGGGGCCATGGGAAGCGAAGCTGTGCACCATTAGACTATATATATTGGACTATTCATAAAGTTTGCCTGCATGATTATTGCAATAACCATATGCATTTGAAAGACACCAGTTCAGTAAAATATTAAGATCAAAAGCAGTGTCAATTCTATCAATGCAAACTACAAAGTCATCAATCAGAAAATTCAAACCATTTTAGTGAAAAGCACATGTTTTGGCTAATGGACCATGTCCACACACACTTAATGTGTTTTGTGTTAATATAAATCCTTAGTCATTAAATGGGTGCGTGAAGGATTTACAGGATGTTTCTTTGCATGATTAGCAACCCAACTAAATGCGTTAATTAAGTCAAGAAGGACTATAATGCATTTGAAGTTTTATTTGTCTGCAAGGCTGCAAGCATCCTGTGGTGGCCAGATTAGTAAATCACTAGAAATGCATATATAGATTTATATTGAATGTATTTTTTATTTTTTAGGTAACCGGATTGGGCTTTTTGATAAAAAAAAAGATAGGTTATATACAAGTAAAAAGGATGAAAAATAAGAGAGAAATACAAGAATATTGTAGAAATTTCAGCTAGATGAAATAACTATATTTTGCTCGAAGCATAATAAGCATGGCAAAAGTTAGGATGCATATGCACAACTGATTAGGAATTGAGATTTTTTTCAAGCCTAAAAGGGCTAAACTAAGTATACCTTGAATCCATATATTGATGACTAGAAATATTGATAAATAAACTTCTACTAGAAAATATTTGCCAAATCAACGATAGATGCATATCGATTCTTATCTTTTGTGCATCACGGAGAAGCCCCCATCTGATGTCGAGAGGATGATCATCCATTGCGCCTGGAGGAGCCCCATCCGAGGGGAACCCCGTTGTTTGGTGTAGGGGAAGGGACGCCACCGCCATGTGTAGGAGAGGGGACATCACCACCAGGTACGGGGAAGACGATGTCGCTATCGCTGATGTGTAGAAGAGGGAGACGTTGCCGCCAGGTGCGGGGAAAGCGATGTTGTTGTCACCGATGTGGAGAAGGTAGTCATGGCCGCTGCTTGGTGTAGGGGAAGGGACGTCGCCGCCATGTGCAGGAGAGGGGATGTTGCCGCCAAGTGACGATGCCGATGTGGGGCTAGTGGGGGAGGGGCACCACACCGGATCCGCCTTGTGCTAGGAAGTCACTGTCGTCGCTACTGTGATCTGGGTGGGTGGAGAGTGAAAAAAGAGAGGAAAGTGAGATATCTAGGGTTAGGAGTATTTATTTATGTGAGGTGACGTTATAGAGCACGCACTTATGGTTTTGGTAGGTCTTTTTACATATGTGGGAGGCGAACTATGGTTTTGGTAGGTCTTTTTACGGTTGTGGCTGGCAGACCAGCATGGGATATTTAACGCTCACAATTGTAGGCCTTTTTACGGTTATGGGTGGCGAACCATGTCATAGTTGACACTCAGGGTTTTACAGTTGCAGATAGTCTCTTTACGATTGCAGGGTAATTGATTTGTTGGTTGACGCGTTGAATAACTTATTCAACATGATAGCTGTTGAATAGCATATATATTGTAACCAATACGATTGCAGGGTAATTGATTTGTTGGTTGACGCGTTGAATCACCTATTCAACATGATAGTTGTTGAATAGCATATATATTTGTAACCAATCAAATTTTGGTAGTACACAAATCTATTGCACCAACCAAATTGAGCTTGTCACCCGAACCCATCTTGGTGCTGCCAAATTGCCACATCGCCTGTCCTGTTACGTGGCAGATTAGTGTGATGATTTTTCATCACAAGAACGTCACGGATTGCATATAATAACAAAAAGTAGCGGTTCTAACGAAATTTTATTGTCACTCAAAATCATTTTTTTTCTTGCCTATTTTCTTCTCCATGCCCAGTATCTCCTTCATAACCTTGGGTCACCAAGTTCTTTGTTTACAGACTGCCATGCAGCTTATATATTTAGCTCAGGCCATCCTCCTTTCACCTCCTTGCATTTGCTTAAGATCTTTTGGAAACAGGAATGCTAAACACCACACGGGTGTTTTAGCTCCTATAAACACACGATTTTTTCCGTCTCTCTAACATGAGTCTCCGATCCGACTCCTCTCCTCCGCGCTCCCGTCCTCCCCTCCGCGTGCTCTCTCTATCTCACCGGCGACGGGACCGGCGAGCTCCTCCCGGTGCCCACGCCTCCTCGCGCCCAGGCGGCCCCCGGCCGGACCAGACCTCCGCTGCCGCCTCCGCCGCCCCCAAGCCGGACCTCCGCCGCCGCCCCCGTGGCACGGCTGTGCCCGCTCCGCCACGATTTGTTGCTTGTGATCTGTGCCGACACAGCCGCGATTTGTCCTTGTCCTTTCATAGAAAAAATTTGTTTTCTATGATCTGTGCCAATGAAGAAGATAAACAGTGCCATGCGGCGGCTGGAGGTAGAAGATGAACAGTGCACGTGGGCTGCTGGAGGTAGAAGGCGAATAGTGCCAGAAAAAATCAGGTGTGGACTTGGGGTAAAACACCCAAGTGTCAGACAGACAGACTCTTTGGAAATGTCACTTAAGACCAGGAAGACATTAATAACATATTAACATGCACATTTGCTAGTCTTATCTGATCAGCCCAGGTCCAGGCAGTGGGGTGAGTATTGAACTGGGGAGTCAGATTGCAACTCTCTCCTTCAGTGCCAACGTAGCTCATACCAATTAATACTTCACGACATGGTGGTCAAAAGAATTTGAAAAAAAAAATCATTGACCCGGAGACAAATATGCTGCTGCTTCTGCATTCTAAGCTGGCGTCCTAACAATCCATCCTAGGCACTCCTTCCTAAGAGGCGAGTCGGCAAATATTGCTTTGATGAAATTTTGCACCTGTACATGATTAAAAAAACTGATCGGTTAAACTAAGAAATCAGACATGAAATTTAGGATATTTTTCAACATTGAAAAGATCATAAAGTTGTCATGCAGTAGCTTGAATTAGGAATACTGAGGTTCCCGTAACAAACATGTGCAAATCACAGATTGAGATATACAGAAACATATGGGGGCGCAAGACAGTTATGAGAGATCCAAGGACCTATGAGATAAGTCAATGCCCAAAAATAAAGTGCTGCCGCTGATATTGTATATGAAACATATATGAAGATTCTTTTTTTAAAGAAAAGATGGGAGCTGGGCTTGCTCACCTCAGATGATGTGAAACCACATCTAGCTAGGTCTCCACTTTCCCAACATGCTGTGATGGACTTCAATGACATATCAAGCAACTCTGAACAATAATTATTTTCAGCGTTATCTGACTGAACAAAAAAATATGAGTAGCCCATTTAAAGATGAAAAGAAATCCATAATCAGAACCAACAAAATACCTGCAAGCTTGCGGAACTTTTTCAAAGAGGGTATAATTCCATCCAACTGAATCCAAGTGTCATGGTCTAAGAACTTTGTGCTGTCATCATCGTTCTCAACCAGGGAAAGAAATAGTGAAGAGAGGTTTTCCAGAGCCAAATGGATAAGGCCTTGAAGCTGTAAGCATGTATATTAATGAACATACCATTATGGCATAACATGTATCACCTCAAACCATCATGTCATAACATGTATCACCTGCAATGTCTCTTCTGCTGCCATGTCATCTATCAGAAGCATATCCCTTGTAATTCTTGAGAAGACAGACCCAAGGACGTGACACATACTTTTCCTGTAAGTTGATCTTGGCAGTATCGATTCCCACATGATGCGTATCTTTTCCAAAATAAACACGACCTGAATTGAACCCATAGATCAGCAGAGTAAATAATGATGTTTAACTGAAATGTCCATTTAGATGAAAAATTGAAAAAAAATCATCAACAATGGAAATTGATTGCTGCTGATATTTGGCACATCATGAAGAAGACAATTTTTATTTCATTGGAGATCCAGGGAAGATTGAAGCAAAATGTTCTTCGGATGATTTGTGAGATTGCTGGTAAAAAGATCCCTAAATAATGGCGAATAGATGTAGCAACAGGGCACAAGGCTTCCCAATGCGTATTTTACTCATTTACAATTATAAATACATAATTCTCTTGTTAATTTCATCGCGAAAAGTGCAAGTTTGGACTTATAAACCATGGTTGTTTTGTCTTGTTTCTCCACTGGGAAATGTTTGACTGGGACTACAAGTAATTAGCTCAATGAACAAGCGAACTAAATTTTGAAGTAAATATGTATGAAGTCCCCATCATTTTTCAGGGTTCAAGTGGAACAGACCTGCTCGATACTAAATTTTGCTGACTCATAATGCTGAGGTTGGTGTGTGTTCTGAAAACCTTCAGCGCCATCTATAGCCTGTTAAAACAATGCAACGAACTAGAAAATTTAAATAGAAGCTCAAAACTAGAAGTAATTATGTGTGTGCAATAGAACTTCATAATTAGAAAGATCTAATGACCTCACTTATAGTATCAACAGCGAGTTGTATTTGTCTTCTCAATACAGCATCTGCCATCTGGGAGAAGATTGGGGCTAAATCCACAAAAACAACCTGTTTCTGTAGATCACTAGGAAAATCTGCACGATACTGGAGAAAAGCATCCACAAAGATTAGCAGAACACATTTCATTTTGGAAACACATGAAATATCTTAAGAAAAATATCTCTTAAAAAGTGCTATTTAATTTGGTTGCCCGAAGAGGAAAAATAAATTTCAACAGCATGACTGCATGAGACTGGTTCTTTTTTGTTTTGTTGGAAGTAAACAAGATCAATCCAGGACGTAGAGGCATGGATTTTTTTTCATGTGCAAAGTAAACACTCTATCTTATCACACAACAATGTTGTCCCGTCGCCATAGAAAGCATAGTTGAACTTGAACACAACAGCCAGCTACAACTTGGTGAGTTTCTTGTCTTGGGTTTTCACAAAGTCCCCTGAGGCCCTGAGCAGTGGGCAGTGGGCAGTGGTGGTAGGTGGCAGCAAGGGTTCCACTGCCTGCAAGTGCACCAGCAGGATGGGTGGGGCTGGACCGCTGGAGGCAGTACATGAGCTCAGACAGCATGGCAGATAAGAAATTTTATTGGTGTTGGCTGCAGGAAGCGAGGTGGTAACACAGGAAGGGGAGTGGAACGGACGATCAGGTGTGCTACAATCCAGTAAAATTCCTGTATTCTGGAATCTAGGGTCGGAAGCTGGCTGTTTGTTTCATATAGGGATTATAAAAGCTAAAACCACCAATATCCGACTGAAACAAACAGGGCTTCCTCCAGTGCAAATCCTAAGGCCTTCCCTAGTATCAAACCCAAAATGAAACGAATTTCAATGACTATATAAAGTATAGGATAACAGTAGAACATAATTTAATACATGGAAGATAAAGAATAAATAGTTTATTACATATCTGCATTTTTTAGCAAGAACACACTAACATACTCAAGCAAAACTCAAGATCAATAATGATACAAGCAGCAACAAGTTGGGCATGCACACCTGAAATGCAAGGCCCAGAATTTCTTGGGACAAATGGTAGAAATCATTGTGAACAATAGCAGCCACTTGACTTAAGCTATCAAATTGCTTCTCTAGCTTCAGAAAAAAAATTGACAAAGGTCAACTACTATGAAACAATAATAGTGCTAAAAAAGATAGAACTGAAACTAGAATACAGTGTGATTTGCTTTGAGTACAACCATGGTATAATGTGGAAACCTAAAACTATCATTCAAAGTTTGTACATACATGAACCTGAACTGGCACAATAGCCTTATAAAGGAGCAAAACATCCCTAGCAGCAGAGCAGAACTCCTTAGCTACTCTTGCTGATGACAAAGATGCATCCTGCTCTGGTTATTCAACAAGAAAATGGATGTGCATCAAATCCTCATCCAATAGGAATTTACAGCTCACGAACACTAAAAAAGTGGAACAGTGCATTCGCATGCAATAGTCAATGCTCGCAACTATGGGAAGAATGCATACCATGATGAACAGAACAGTAGTTCTCATCTGTGAAACTGTGACGATGGATGAGTAGAACACACAAAAAAAACATAAGAATGTAGCGCCAGGCATACCTTGAGGGCTCCATGAACCAATTTCATTACTAGAAGTGACGATTTAGATGTAAAACACTTCTCTGGCTGAAAAAGTAGATCAACAACAGAATCACCTTGGTCACCAGATTCCTGCAATAACAAGCCTCTTTATAAGTATGGAAGAAATGAACCCACATTGTACATGGAAACTCTTGGGTTACACTCACCAGACGACTATCATAATCATATTGTACAAGAATGTTCCTTGCTTTCACCAAGATCTCACTTCTCTTCCGTACAGCAAAATGAACTTCAACATCATCAACAAATTGGGTCAACTTGCCATCCTTTCTATCAGGCGAAAGAAACATCATGCTCCTAAGTTTGTTCTCGAATTCAACTGTACTTCGCACGACATCTTGGAACTCAATTAGCTTGGATGCCTCATTGGGTACAGCCTGAAAACACATAATTAAAGCATCAGTAAAAAAATACCTGAAACAGCAACTGCCGACTTGCAATGCAAATGTCTACGGACAAGAGAACTTAAACGAGGAAGTTCATAGAACCCTAAGTTTCTTGTGGCTAATAAGGACAGTTTGTAAGTTAGCTCATATCACTCTGTTCTTTTTCAACAAAATTCAATTCTTCCCTTCATGGAACTACAAAGATATATGACCCAAGTTTTCATTTGGTGGTAAGTTTTATAATACAATGTGTGAATTAGAGGGATAACGTATTTTCTAGTTATTCTACATATATATATTTTCTGAACCGAACGATAGCTAGGTTGGTAGATAGTAGATACTACCTCCGTCCTGAAAAGGATGCAATTATAAGGGGTCTTTCTCGAGCGGTGCATGAGAGCTGCATGTCATTTCATTAAGCAAAGAGAGAAAGTACAAGGGAGGGCAGAGCCTACTCCCGAAAACTCGCCATATTAAGAAAACTCATATCCAAAGTTTGTCCTTAGTCAAACTATCTAAAGTTTGACCAAGTTTATAGAAAATAGTATCAATATTTATGACATCAAATAGGTAATAATCTAATGACACTTATTTGGTATAAAAAATATTGATACTTGTTTGTATAGACTTGGTCAAGCCAAAATGGTTTGACTTGGTATTATGCTAGAATGGCATTCTTTTCAGGACAGAGGAAGTCCAATTAATGAGAATATAATCAACAAAACTAACTTCACTAGATCATTATAGTCTATAGAGTGTACTTATAGAATTATATCATGAAAATGTCTACAAACAAGAAAAGTAGAAAACTGAAAATAGGAAGCTCATCGAATCCCAAAGTTGCTTGTAGTTTGTAAGGATAGTGACTAAGTTTAGGTCACTGTTCCTTTTTCTATCAAATATGATTCTTCTTATTGTAGGACTCAAGTGTTCAATTGGTGGAAAGTATGATACTATAACCAAAATAGAGGGTTATAATAACATGTACTTTAGTGATTTTATATACGTATTTTGTAACATCACATACTGCTCACTACAGCTATTAGAAGCATTCACAGGCCGATGGCTGCAAATCAAATCAAATTCAAATCATATCGTTGTAGTTGAACCAATCAAAGGATTAGTTTATATAGCAAAAGAAAGATTGACAGCTCAATTAACAGTAAACAAAGAAACTATACTTGCTGGAAAGCCCCATATGTTCTAGCAGCAGTAGATGCTTGGTGAAGATAATGCAAGTTAAGATACAAATAGTTTTTGTCTCGCATTACAGATAGAAAAGATAATCATAATTCAAAATGATAGTTCTTGAGACTTCCCTTCCTCAGATAAATCAGGAAGAACGGTACCTTGGAGAGAAAGTGTGTGATAACCAGATCAGAAATTCTTGGCCAGGTTAACTTTGCAAAAGACTGAACCCACTTGCTATTTTCCATGCAAATGAATTTGCACACAAACTTGATGACATCAATTATTCTTGAGTACAGATTTGAACCATCTTTATTGTCCTTTAACAGTAAAAACCAGTTACATAAGGCAAACAAGAAGCAAGATTACTTGATCTGCAGAAAGTAATCAGGAAATAAAACTAATTTCGGCTTGTGCTCCAGATGAACAAATATCTAATTCCCCTGCACAATATTGCTAAAACAAAATATAATATTTACCAGTTGAATTGTTTCTTAAAATGAAGATACACATTCAGCACATATATAGTAATGTCTTGAAAAACTATGGCAAAGGCACACAACTGACAACAAACTGGGTCAAGGTAGCCCTTGAAAAGTTATTACTTAGAATAAATGTATTGACAAACAATTTTCTTTAGAAATCAGGAAACACCATGAAAGGCTTACTTTTATTTCCTCAGAAGGGGCTACACTCAAGACTGATACAGAGTGTTCTGGACCACCTTCCTCAATCACTGACACCTGTATGTTACTAATTGCTGGAACCAGAATATGTTTCATCATCTTGTCTGCAATTTTTGCCATCCCATAGCCTAGGGCATCAATAGTCTGCAAAACAAAGAAATGAAAAGGTCATACATTTGGAGTACAATGTTATCATGTAATATGGGGTCAACACTTATGCAAGGCGCCCATGGCAGCACCTGCCATCTCAGAAAAAGCCTAGAAGGACGCGTCTATAGTCTGGCCCCTAAGTAAGCGACTTTAGAGATACAGAAGTAAGGCATAAATAGGAATTAGTTGCATTTAAGGATATATGCTTCCATCAATTGCTTGCTTGTTGTCAGGAAACTCCTCTCTGTTTACAGGAGAGAAAATTATCAATAAATGCCTAACTTGGATTTGATATTTAGATCCTTCTTGATCTCTGAGCCACATAGGTCTACCCAACCTAGCAATGACACCGCCTTCTCCACAGGCTACCCCACCAAGGTGCACAACATCGCCCTGCCATCTACTCATTCCAGTTCAAAATACTTGTTCCTTTAGCCTCTTCTACTATCTTCAAAATACTTGTTGTACAATTTTGAAGTAAATTTGACTCATTTTTTTTCCAATCTTACACCTCCTTAATTCCTTCATTGACTAGCATGAGGGAGAGTGAGTGTGTGCTTTGGCATAATAAATGGCCACTTTATATAGAGGATTAAACATGGGTAGGATGGTGGATGGCCATTTCATTTACCTCCTTAGTTCCCACGCCAAGGCTAAAACAAAAGGTATTTTCAGTTTCAATCTAGTCCGCACTACACAACATATCAAAAGAAGGTAGCATATGAACTCAGGGAGGTAGTGCCTGGTGGAGCTTCTAGTGACGTAGATATCTTTTTTTTCCAAAGTTGTCGCAATTTTAGCTGCTGAAGGAACCCTGTTCGCTTGATCGTTTCTGTGGCTTATAAGCCGGCTGATGCTGTTTTGTTGTGAGAGAAAAACACTTTATCATGGCTGATAAGCATGGCTGATACGATCAAGCGAATAGGGTGCACAACAGCCCACAATCCTTGACAACAGCTATCTTTAACAACAATTGTATTCAATATTTCTACGGCAATGCAGCTAAACTATGTACAGCTTATGTTCCATTCAATGTCCATCAAAAGCTCCCAACTAAGTTCCATTACCAATTGCATATTTTGTTTACAAGTTAGGGTTATGGTCAAACTTACTGGAGCAGTCAACCCATGATGCAGAAGTACCAAGTGAATTTTCTCAGTAAAACTCACCTCCAATGCCTGCAGGGCAACAGGAAGCTCAACACCATGACTTCCACCGGAGTGACCTCTCGGAGTAGCCCTCACCACCACCTTACCTCCCTCTGGCGCAAATTCCACACACTCCTCCACATTCTTCCCAAGCCCCACTTGCAGCTGTATCACCATCATAACCACAACCCAACAACAACGATTAGCACAAATGCAAACCCTGACATAAGCTGAATCATTCTAAAGCGGAATTTCCTCGTCACCTCATCGACAAGTTGCTCCCAGTCGCTCCTGAGGAGCCCAAATACGACCGGGTCGTCTTGACCAGATCCAGATCTGTCAGGATCGATCAGGAAGGTCTTGAGTTCAGCGACGGCAGCGGCCCTGTCAAGGGGGCTTGCTGCGGCACGGGCCTCGCGGAGGCGGGCGGCAAGCGAAGCAATTGTGGAGGCAGCAGCGAGGTGCTCCTGTCGCTCGGCGAGCTCGCGGCGGGCGGCGAGGAGGCGGTCGGCAAGGGCCCTGAGGTCGGAGAGGTCGGGCGAGGAGGCGAGCGGGGCAAGCGCGGAGTCGAGGGAAGACTTGAAGGAGGCGGAGGATTCGGCGGCAGAGGCTGCGCGGAGGAGCGCGTTGGCGAGGGCCCCGCGGTTAGAGGCAGCGAAGGAGAGGGCCGAGGCGTGCAGGCGGTCGGAGCGGAGGCGTAGGCGGTCGATGAGGAGGCGGAGGTCGGGCGCTGAGAGGGGCGTGGACGGGTCAGAGGCGTCGGCTGTGGTGGAGAGGAGGAGCTCGCGCACGTCGTCGGCAGCTTGCACTTGAGATCCAGCAGCCGAAGATGCACCAGCAGCTGCAGCTTGAGATCCAGCAGCCGAAGATGTACCAGGAGTAGACATTTTCCCCTTTCTGAAAGAAAAAACACCAATACTCAGTATTCACATACATTCACATATCACATACAGACCAGTGTGTCTCGCTCTCACCTTGGAATTGGATCCGTGACCGTGGAGACCGGAGTTTGGGCAGGGGCAGCAGGGGCGGCGGTGGACCGGGGCTCACCGCGTCCTCGACTCCTCGTCAGGGGCGGCAGAGGGCAGGGGCAGCAGGGGTGGCGGCGGACCGGGGCTCGCCGCGTCCTCGACTCGTCGTCACTCGTCAGGGGCTCCGCGGGGCAGGGAATGCGCGAGCGCGATGCAGCAGCAGGGGCCAGGCCGCCAGGGCTCGGTGGTCGGTGCGCCGTGCGCCTGGCCGCCTGCGCGGTGCGGCGGTGCGGGCAGCGGGCGTGCGGCGGCACGGGACTGGGAAGAGGGGAGGAAAAAGGAGAAAGGACAGGACTGGTGTCGATCTGGTCGCGTGCCATGGTAAAAGTCACAGGTAATTAAAAAGTTTGAGCGATAAGGGTCATCGATCGGAATTTTTTTACGCTCGATACAATTCCCATTATCAGAATTTTTTTACACTCGATACCATTCCCGTTATATTACGTTAGTTTTCAACGGTTCTACCGTTCTAACATGTGGGTCCGATTAGTTAAAATGTCTAGAATGCTCCCATCTTGTTTCTGGTCGATAACCCTATCCTCTGCAGGCCCTCATCGGGAGCGGCAGCTGCAGAGCCCGACGGCTCCTCTGCAGCGGGCGGCGGGAGGCCGAGTGGCATAGGGCGGTGCGGGCGCGTGGCTTCAAGGTTATCTTCTTCCATGGCTTCACCGCATAGCAGCTCCCGCGTCGACATCGGCTCCCATGACCGCACCGTACCTCGCCGCGGGGAGGCGCCCACGTCGTCCTCGGCTCCGACGCCGTGCTCTGCTCGGGCTCCTGTTCGTAGAACGCCTTTATCGTGGTGCCGCAAGACCTCCGTGGCCGCGTCGGTGCCTTTGCCGAGAGGATCAGCCCCGGCGTCTGCGTCCGCGACGATAGCACCTGGCGCACGCGCGGATGCGGCTTCATGGTGCAGTCGCAGTAGTTCTGCAGGCGCTCTGGTGGGATGTGCGACGCCTCAGTGACGATTCGTCGTGGACACCCTTCCTTACCCCCATCGTCAGCCTCCGCCGCCGGCGTCGTCATCGAGTAGGCGCCTATCCAAGGCTTGGATCGTGTTCGTTGGGGTGGTGATGCACTGATGCTGGAGTCGCTGACGGGGCGGCATGCCATCTTCAAGGATGCGGAGAGCAGGAGCCCCATGGCCGCTTCTGCACGTTGCGCAGCCTCGGCTGCTTTACCGCCACGGCGCACACATGGCGCTGATGGTGCTGCTTTCGCCCAGTGACTTCGATCTCGGCGCCATATGGATGCTAGTTTCACGTATTCCACACTCGCAGCGGCCACCTCCTTTGTAGCGGGCGGCGCGGTGCCGGTCAGTGCCCCTTCTCGCCGGCCTGTGCAGCGCTAGCTGCCCTCCAGATGCGGCTTTGGTCGCCGCAGACTCGGCTTCTTTTCGTCACATAACGCGACACGTTCGATGATCCATGGACACTTCGGGCGTTATGGGCGAAGGAGCAGTTGCATTTTTTTTTTTGAATTTAAGGAGTTGTTGCATTGATGATGAAGAAGTTGACGAACGCGTCATCTCTACGGCCGGCCGGCCAGCTTGCACAGGTGCACGTACGCCTTCCTGGTGACCGAAGAAGCTTACTGCTGCTACTTGCATATACGTGTACATACTTCTATTAGCTTGTCGCATACCTATATATACGTACATGATACACACATGCAACTTGCTAGCCTGTTTCTTCTGGCACACCTCACGTACATAGGCGATTAGTTCTTGCCTCTTTTCTTTATAGGGCAAATACGTGAATGCTTATACATTCTGGTATTGTTAGTCTGTGATCAACAACCCCCGCAGATAAATATAGACAACGCCATGTATAGTGCCCGCCTGTCTGGTGGGCTCTCTTTCTTAAATGAGTTTGAGCTCCATTACGTATTTTGAGAAATATAATAATATATATATGCTTCGTACATGCAATGCAAGTTCCTGCTAACACTATATAAGTAAACACTAAAAAAGATTATTGTGGTGTATCTTATCTCTTAGCTATAATTTTTTGTTGTGATGTCTTAGGCAAAAGTTCTATGCAGTTTTTATTTTTTATCATGTAGTACAAGTACTCGCTTTCAGGGATGATGGGCACGACGCTCCTGTCAGCGTTCGTATGAGGGTTAGGTAGAACAGCACCAGCACGACCGACGTTGTTCTTATGTGAATCCTCAGGTATGGCCCGTCATGGCCACGGGTTACATCGGGGCGTGTCGGTCTCTTCCTTGGTGTCAGAGTTTTGACCCAGACCCATACGTTTGGACCTGGAGTGGTTGACGACGGTATGGGTCCCCGTCGGGCGAGACGAAGCTCGCACCTGAGGGGTCAGGCGAGATGGAGCACAAACCCAAGGGTCGAGCGAGACGGAGCCCGCGGCCTCAGGGTTGGGCGAGGCGGAGCCCGTGGCCTTGGAGTCAGGCGAGGCGAAGCCCGTGGCCTCGGGGTCGGGCGAGACAGAGCCCGCCCCAGAGGTCGGGCGAGGCAGAGCCCACACACCTAGGGGTCGGTTGGAGCTATAGTCGCGCTCTTGACTGCTCGGATGAATCAATATTGATGACCATTAACTCCTCTTTGGGTACCCTAGTATTGGTCCCCGACAGTGGCCCCCGAGCTTGCGGAGGAGTAGAATACTCCTTCGGAGGCTTTTCTGAACGGGAGGACTCTGAGGGCCTTGGCCTTCTTTTGTCCCCCACGGCGTGTCCTGGGGACAGTGATTCCCTTTTGTTGTGATCAGACCCCTCGGAGGTATAGCCGTGAGATTTGGTGGGTTGGAAAAGATCTTTTCTGATTCCGACCCCTACAGGGTCTATCGTTCTACGACCACGCGTTCGGTCTTCTTACGAGTCCAACTTTCCTCGAGCCCCCATCCATAGCAAGGGTCCGATCGGGGGTCGGCTCTTCTTTGTGATTGTCTTTCCTCAAGCGTTTTTTCCGATAAAACGGAGGGGCTGAGCCGTGCCATGATTTTTCTCTATGGATAATCATGGTGCTCGGTGAGCTGTTAACGGGCTAGTCCGAGTGGGGCCCCGGCATCCCATTCATGGGGGTCCGGCTTGGGTCAGCTGGTGATCGACTTCAGATTCTCAGCGGTCAATCCATATAGTTCTCGGGTTTGTTCGACCGGTCCTGATGGCTCTCTGCCTTTCTTCGAGGAAAAACCATGGATCATATCTGACCGAGACTTGAACATGGGCTGGGTTGCCCACGGCGCTTGTGCGCCCGAGTACTGGCCGCTGGCGAGCCCATCCCTTCTCACCCCTCACTCTAAAGGTGCCCAGAGCGGTTGTCGAACCCAATGGTGGGCCCACCTTCGAACTCCTAGGCCTAGACGGGCCGTAGGAGCATTTTTAGCTCCATATCCCTCTTACCTATGATAGGTCGTGGCCCGTTCAGGGAGGCAAAACGTCCGGCATATTTTCCGAGGGGACGACCATAGGTTGCGTGCGCACGCCCCACGATGAAACGTGGTGATAGGTCGTGGCAGGCGTGGAGATCTAAGCAGACGGTTGGTTTCCTCGCACCCGTCGCCCCTATAAAACCAAAGGGTTAGCCCTCCGTGTTTCATACGCTCACCTGCATCCTTACCTCCGCAGCCACGCCGCCGCCGCCAACGCTTAGGTTTCTTGCCTCCGCATCTCCGCTGTCGTTGAGCTCGCATCCATCCACCCCACCTCCAATGGATCTGTGGTGCTGTTCCGACATCACCCTCTAGCGCATGGAGGGACTCGTCTATCATGGTCTTCTCCGCGCGCGGACCTCTGCCGAGGAGTGGTTGCTGCCCGGCGATGAGGATTTGCCATTGCCTCCCGATGGCTACGTGGTGTCGTTCGCCCACTTCCACGAGCGTGGGCTCATGACCCCCGCCCATAAATTCCTTCAGGGCCTGCTGCACTTCTACAAGATTGAGCTGCAGTATCTCAATCCCAATGGGATCCAGCACACGGCAGCGTTGATCGTGCTGTGCGAAGGATTCCTGTGGATCAGCCCCCACTTCGACTTGTGGAGGCATTTCTTCGCCGTCAACCTCTGAAAGGTCGAGATGGCGGACTAGAGGGGGGTGAATAGTCCTTTCTAAAATTAATCGTGTCGGCTAACCGAAACAAATACGGAATTAAAACAATCAGTCTAGCCAATACTACACCCATCTATCAAAGTTCTCTAGCACCTAACAAAGATCCTAATAAGTAACTAAGGTGCCGGGCTAGCTGGAGCTCACCTAATCAATTCTAGAAGCAAGGTCACACAAACCTATGCCACTAGTACTTTAAGCAACAATGGAGCTCCTACACATGCTAGTAAGCAAAAGCACAAAGCCAACTAAGCTCACTAGCAATGCTCAATAACAAGGCAACCAATGCCAAATTAGAGAGCGCAACTATTTAGCTACACAAACTAAGCAATGTGACTAACAAGGTTACACAAACCAAATTAGCCACGCAAGGGAGCTACTTCTATGCTACACAAGCAAGAAGGTAACTAGTAAGCTACATAAGCTAACTAATTACAAGAGCAACTTACACAAGCATAATGTATACGAAATGTAAATACAAGCTTGTGTAATGAGGATGTAAACCAACGGGAAGAACAAGGTTGACACGATGATTTTTCTCCCGAGGTTCACGTGCTTGCCAACACGTTAGTCCCCGTTGTGTCGACCGCTCACTTGGTGGTTCGGCGGCTAATTGGCATCACCCGCCAAGCCCGCACGTCGAGCACCGCAAGAACCTACCTCAAAAGTGAGGGTAGCTCAATGACACACTCAACTAGAGTTGCTCTTCGCGGCTCCCGCGGGATGAGCACAATACCCCTCACAAAGCTCTTCTCCGGAGCACCGCACAAGCTTCTTGCGGGCTTCGACGGAGACCACCACCAAGCCGTCTAGGAGGTGGCAACCTCCAAGAGTAACAAGCACCACCGGCTTGCAAATCGATCACCTAGTGCCACTCGATGCAACCTCACGATACAATCGCACTAGAATCGCTCTCTCATACAATCGGATGATCACTATCAAGTAGATGTGAGATGGAGGGCTCCCAAGCACTACTACACAAGCCACCAAGGCTCTAGTGTGCTCAGCTACCGGCCCAAGGCCGACCATGGCTTCTATTTATAACCCCACGAACAAATAGAGCTGTTACCCCTTCACTGGGCAAAAGTCGGGACGACCGGACTCTTCGGTCACGCGATACTCGCCACGTGTCCCCTCCTTCAAACGCTGTTCTTTCGATCTCAACGGTCATCTGACGACTGGACGCAGCAGCTTCAATTGACCGGACGCTGAGCCCCTAGCGTTCAGTCGTTTCCAGTAAGGTTCCAGAAACGACATTTCACGACCGGACGCGTCCGGTCGATCACGATCGGACGCAGCACTAGCGTCCGGTCACTCTCTAGCTTCTGCTCTACCTGCGTCACCATATGTCAGCACTGACCGGACATAGGACCCCAGCGTCCGGTCACTACATGACCAGCGTCCGGTCGAAGACCGAAACACGCGCCCTCTGCTGCCACTGACCGGACACGCCGGTCCAACCGAGACCAGCGTCCGGTCACTTACAGTGACCTCCGTCTTTTCTATCTAGGGCACCGGTGGCACCGTCGAACTGTCCGCACTCTATGGGCGGACACTCCGCCGGTGAAGTTTCTCCTTTCGCCTCCATTTCTTCACTGAGTTGATCCCCATCAACTCCAACTTCATCTCCTTTGTAAATGTGCCAACCCCACCAAGTGTACACCACCATGTGTATGTGTGTTAGTATTTTCACAATCATTTTCCAAAGGATTACCACTCAACTTGCCACGCCACTCGATCCTAGCGATGATGCAAAGTTAGATCACTCGAGTGGCACTAGATGACCGATATGCAAACAAGTTTGCCCCTCTTGATAGTACGGCCATCTATCCTAAACCCGGTCATAAACTTCTCTACACACCTATGACCGGTGAAATGAAATGCCCTAGGTTATACCTTTGCCTTGCGCATTCTATTCCATCTCCTCCAATGTCGATGCAACACATGCACCAACACGATCAATAATAATATGATCCACTTCATATCATCACATGATCATATTGGTTCATCGATCTTGACTTCACTTGCTCTTCACCGTTGCCATCGTCCATCGGCGCCAAGTCTTGCTTAAGC